CCTTAATGAAACCTCCGCCCTGACACCACTGCTGGCCTGAGTTACGAATGCCATTTCGAACTCAGGCCCTGACACAGCTGCCAAAGGCCTGTTTTTCGTGCCTTTAGGAACTCAAAACATGCCGCATCCGCCTTTGTCTCTTTTGCTTTTCTTTTCTTTTTTTTTTGAGTCGTTTCTGCCATCTTCTCCTGTGTGCTGTATATGGGACCGAATTCACGATACCAAATCCAGCCAAGTCCTCTCAGCGGCTCAGCCTTCAATATTATCAACATAGTGAACATTCATCATCAATCATCAATCATCAATCATCAATCATCAATCACCATTAATCATCACCAGCAGCAGCTATGGTACTACGTTTTTTTTCAACTTTTTGTCCTCACCGCCATCATTATCATCAAGTTCATTGACATTCCGTTCCCTTCTCCTCCGAGCAGAGGGTGAGCACCCTCATGACTCCAGTCCAGAAAAAAGAAATCCTTGCCCCCCACCTACAAATCTTCCTGTTGTTCTCTCTTTCACCCGCTCTTATTTATTGAGCTGATTGTTTTTTTTTTTTCGCTAAATAAATGATAACTAAAACATTATAGATAGGTGAATCACGTTTGGCAACATTTTCATCCCCCCGTTGCCTTGAATCTTGGTCGTCATCATAGCCACACGTCACCATTGGCTCATGTACTAAGTATTTTTCCCAAGGCCCTCAAAAAACAATTACAGGAATGCATTCGTCCGGTAACTTAAAGATGGTGACCGTCGTCTATTTACCCGTTAGCCGGTGTATTGGTAAAGTCTACCCGTGGGGGCAACATAGCTCGTGGCACTGCATTACATGACTTCACAACTAGGCCACCAGAGTGGCCTGAGACCACCTGCCCGACCGGGCAAAAAACGAGTTATGATTGCACTATGGGGCGAGATACAGTTTGCAATTGCACTTCAGCCATCCTCCCTGGCTAGAAAGCTGGTATGTATGTATTGCCTAAGCTGCAAATAGAAACTGTACCTTGGTCCATAGTGCAATTATAACCTATTTTTGTGACTCCTGCATAGTTTCCCCAAATAAAAAAAAGAAAAATAGAAAAATATTTTCTGACTATTTTTATTTTAAATTCGGTAAATAATTTCGATGTGACCCTGAAGCAAAAGTTGTTCAGTTTATTTTTCTCGTTTTTCTCAATTTTTTCCTCACACTACCTACCTACCACTACTACTACCTATAGGCATACGGGAAACCCGTAGCATACCAGAGCCGTGTTTTTACGGGCCCTCGAGCCTGCAGGATACCGGCCAGGGGACGGCCGGTAGCACCAAGGATAAAGCGGACCAATCCCCCGTGCCTCCCCTCAGGCCCCTCCCCTACGAACATAGCAGACTCTGCTTGATGCCGATCGGGGGATCCAGTGGTCTATCTCTTGGGTAGCGGGTGCCAAGGAAGCCCAGGAAGGCATGAGGCCAATGGGGATTGAACCCATGACCTCCTGAATGCCACTTGCGAGCCTTACCAACTGACCTAGGCCGCTGGATCAGTTTATTTTTCTGCAGAACATACTTTTTTTGAAAAAAATTCCAATTTTTTTAGGTTTTTTCTTTCCCCCCTGTGACCTTTTTGGGCCCTAACACGGATGGGCTGCCCGGGCAAACAACGTGACCCGGGTGGCCCGGCTGGTACTCTAGCTTCGGCCCGGCTGGTACTCTAGCTTCGCACCTATAAACATGACATTAAAAAAATAAAATCATTCGATGTTTGTGACAGTCAAACAGCCTACCACTACACTCCTTTGGTCAACCATATGCTATGGATAGTGAACACAGCAACAAAATCGTAAGTTATGCTGCTTAAACCACCAGTACTTCCTAAAGTCGCGTAGCGTTAATGCTACGCAATTTTAGGAAACGTACGGGCCACTACAGGAGCGCCCAAATTCATCCAACCAGAAACGTTTCTACTCTATTTTTTTTCCGCGGCCGATAGCTGGGCCAAGTACTGGTGGTTTAATGTTGGCTCCCAAACTTGTTTCCACCTTAAAGTCGCTCATGGGGCTGTCAAGCATGGTGTGGGATGACGAACATGGTATACATGGGGGGGAAGGGGTGTGGGGGATGGGGGGCCGAGGCCCCCCCTCCCACACACTTAAACATAACAAGGCCAGTTTTATACCCTGAGGCTCGACATAGATCACTTAAACACAACTTAAGAAAAGGCCAGTTTTATACCCTGGGGCTCGACATGGATAAGGGGTGCGGAAAATGAAGCAACACTTTTAAATTAGACCCTGACACTCGACATCAATAAAGGGAAAACAAATGGGGTGTCCACAAAAAGCGAGTTTTGGAACGCCCGGCATGGCTACTGCAAGCAAACCGATCATCCCCTTTCCCACACAGTAGGAAAAGAAAAAACGGCCTAAACTTGAATGTCGCCTTCCTCCGCTTCTTTGAAAGAAAAAAAAAAGGGTTCGCGGAAAGACGGGAACGCCCCCCCCCCCGCAATTGTGCATGGCACCGCTGCGGCGTTTCGCAAGACAGTAACCTCTGGCCCTGGCCGCACGTTCTTGAACTTTTTCCGCTGTCTGAACAATGAGCAAAAGTCGAC